AGCAGAGGCATTACGATGGTCTCAGGATTAATGAATGTGGAGTCACATCCTGCTAGAGATACAGCTTTTATCTTCTGTGGAAGTTAAGGGAAACAAGAATGGAAGGAGGCTTGAGCACAGGTTCACAAGTGTCTTGAGAAGATGCAGAACGTGAGATCTGGTTAAATCAGACTGCAGTTCATCCAGAAGCAAAAAAATAAATAAAAAATAAAAAAAGATAAATTCAAGCTTAACTCATCAAAATCCAAATGGAAATCAAGGCAAGTGTTTGAGACACGTGGGAACAAATGGCCGTTAAGAATAGGGGTGCTGTTTGCCTCTTGGTGATGGCACTTCCCTGGAAGATGGCATGTGCCCAAAGAGACTGTAGGGCTGTTAATACGTGTGCTGCTGGAGCTTTGTGAAGCAGGAGAGCTCCAAGTGCTGTTTTTTATGCCAAAAAGAGTGGATGCTTCCACTGAGCTGTGCCCTGCAGCAGTGCCAGGGCCACAGTGGTGATGCAGGAAACTGCAAACAATGGGAAGCTCTTCTGGGAATGTTGCTGAGGAAGAGTTTCTCTAGGTGGGCATTTTTTGCCCTTCCTGCACGCCCAGAAATAGCCATTATGTGCACCAGGGCAGCCAATTTCAGGCTCGCTCCAAGTAGATGCAGTGGTGTACCTGGGGTGTAGTCCATCCTCAGTTCAGTCCATCCCTAGGAGGGTTCGGTCAGTTGGGCTCCGTTCCTCCTCCAAGACCCCAATGCTGGGGCACATCCCATGCAAGATCAGGGATCCCAGTATCAATTTTTGATAGAAACTCTGTTTTTAGTCCTTGGGTAGAGCTGGGAGCACTGATCCGTTTGGCCATTCCGGAGGTGTCCTGCTTAGTCAGTGCCCTTCAGATACATGGAGCTTACTAACTCTTAGTCATTTCTTGCTTGTGCAAATCATCTGAATGTGTTTTTGAGAACTTTTCGTGGAATATGTTGTTAAACTGAAAACAAGGGTATCATAAAACAGTAATTTAAGAGTAATTCACTGACAACAGGAGCCCTTAAATGCACTGACTTACCATTGTGGAGAGATGATACCAAGCCTGCTATTTAAACATACTCTTTGTCATTCAGAAAATCCTTGGGCAGCTTTTAAAACACTTGCAGTCTTTAATTGTTGTCCTTGTTACTCATTATAGGCTGGTGTCTGGCTCATAAATCGCACATCATTCATCTTGCCCGCTTTGTCAAAGCCTCAGCTGACACATTTGTCTACTTCACTTGTGAAATGCGATAACTTGCGTACGACAATAGGAGCATAACCCAATTTCTGCCACAAAGCTCTCTCTTCTGCTTTCAAAATGAAAAGGTTTATCTTGGCTGGGGTTGTTGTTTTTTCTTTTAAGCACTCAAGAGATATCATGCATTTCATTGTTCCTTGGAGACATCACCGCTAATGAGCAAATGCATCCCTGAGAGTGTGCTGGCAGCCCATCCTTCTGTGCAGGGTCACTGGTTTCCAACTTGAAGCTAGAAAGCTGCTTGCAAAAATTAGAACGGAGCAAACAAACAAACAAACAGGTATTGCGTACTTTGAGCTTTCTAAACACCATTGTTTTGATGGAGGAAAGCTGAAAGGACAAGAGTGCTCTCTCTGCTGTCTCCCCACTGCATCTGCTCATAAAGCAGCATGAGCTCCAGCCTTAATAGAAGGACCCAGTGATATGGGTGGAGGTTGGTGGCCCTGCATATGGCAGGAGGGTTGGAGATCCATGATCCTTGAGGTCCCTTCCAGCCCTGGCCATTCTGTGATATCTGTGGCTGGCACCCTGTGCTTTGCTCCATGGCAGGCATACCACTCTGGAAGGATAAATGAGACTGCAGTTTCACATGGCACCTCACGTGGCTATTGCAAATATCTGAATATCTTTTATATCCCTGGCATTCCTTCAAGCAACCAGAGTTTTTATTTTTGCCTCAGAGAGCATCAAGTGTTGTTGAAGCAGCATGTAGAGGAACTAATGAGGCTGTTATCTCATTAGTGTCCACACCTGTGACCTGTGAGCACCGCAAGCAGCATGTAGGAACTGGGAGAGCTGGCAGCTGGGACACAAGTTAAGTCCCACCTGATCATGGGAGGCTGATTTTGGCAGCAGGTCCTGCTGAGGTTGCCCACCCCTCATCCACAGCTGTGGGATAAGGTCTCCATCCTTTAGGACTTGTTATTTCAACCCTTAAAACCTCTTGGGTGCTCAAAGCAAGTGTCCCAAGCAGAAGCTGTCAGTGACTGGGTGCGTGGTCATCCTGTTGGCCTTGCAGCACAAATCTGCCTTCATCAGCTTTGTACAGTAAGTCTTCAGCTTCATATTGCCTTTGCAAACTGTGGAACTGATGGAAAAGATAGCAAGGGCCAGAAGTGATGGTGACGAGGCTGGTCATAGGATCATCAAAGAATGGCAGAATGGTTTAAGTTGGAGGGGACCTTAAAGATCATGGAGCTCCAACCCTCTGTGCTGGGCAGAGTTAACAACCCAGAGTTTCAGGCACAGGCACAGGAAAACTGCATGGGCTGTTCTCACTGAGAAGGTTACCCCAAATAATCCCAAATTCCCTACTAGGATCTTCTGGAAGCAAAGGGTCTTTAACACTCTTCTTGCTTTTCTGTTTGTGTTTAATTACTCTGTGTGAAAAAGCAGAGCTGCACCAGAGTGTTTTGAGAGTGGTCCCATGCAGAACACCCAGTTACTTGGTATTCTTGGTAGAGAGATCATGCTCAGATCCCCCTAACAGTGGCCAGCTAGAAGAGTTCAGAACAGTGAATTATGACCCAAAACGTTACGTATCCACAGCAGAGCGCACCCAGCCTCCTGCTACACTTGTGTATTCCCTACAAGTGTACTTAGGTTGTGTTGCTTTTCCAAATCCACTTCTTAAGCAGCAGAGTGTGCACATCTCCACATGCACTGAGCACAAACATCTTGGTTCTGCTGCCAGAACTGGGGTTCCTTCCCACCCAAAGCTGCGTCACACGATGGTGAGCAGGGATGGGGAGGAGGCTGGGGCTGCAGGGAAGTGTGTGCCACTGCAGAAAGTTCCAGGGAGAGCCAGCAGCGCTTCCAGCAAGCCATCTAGTGGCTTCCTATTAAAACAGTTGCATGCCTGGAAATGGGAATGTGAAGCCAGAGTGCTGTTTGCTGCTGCTCACTGGTGTTTGTTTCGGGGAGCTGACATTAGGGTTTGTTTGTTTCATCTCTTTGAAAGGGGAGATAACAGCAGGACAAGGGGAAATGGTTTGAAGTTGAGGAAGGGAAGACTGAGGTTGGATGTCAGGGGGAAGTTGTGTGCTGTGAGAGTGGTGAGGTGCTGGAACAGCTGCCCAGAGAGGCTGTGATGCCCCGTCCATCCCTGGAGGTGTTCAAGGCCAGGTTGGATGGGGCCCTGGGCAGCCTGGGCTGCTATGAAATGGGGAGGTTGGTGGCCCTGCATTGGTGGGGGGTTGGAGCTTCGTCATCCTTGAGGCCCCTTCCAACCCGGGCCATTCTGTGATGATGTTAGCCAGATGCTGAGCGGTGCCTTTTTTAGGGTTGTGGTGTAATAAGGTGTTGGAAGTGTTGGGTTGGTTGCTGCGCTTGGGTCTTCCCAAGCTGGTGGGCTGACCCTACAGGTGGACATCAAAATCTTCATTTCATGGATGTGTACATCAAATACATCTATCACATCACCCTATTGATAGATGAGAGGTTATGGCCCTCAAGTTGCTCCAAGGGAGGGTCAGCTTGGATATTAGGAAACAGTTCTCCAAAACAGCAGTGATGCAGTGGCACAGCTGCCCAGGAGTGGTGGGGTCACCATCCCTGGAGGTGTTCCAGAGCCATGGAGTTGTGGCACTGAGGGACGGGGGCAGTGGGCACGGTGGGGTGGCTTGATGTGGGGATCTTGGAAGTCTCTTCCAACCTAAATGATGCTATGATTTTATCACTAACAAAACTCCAAGTAGCATCACTGGGTCCAGGGCTCCCTGCTGAGCTCACCTCCCCGCTGACAGTGGGTCACCACTCCTGACAACTCCCATATGGTTTTCTGATGAGCCGTGTGCCCACATGGCGGCTGTTCCACCTGAGTGCGTCTCTCTGCGTTGCTGGCGAGGAAGCTGTGTGCAGCAATGTCTGATGAACAGCAAGACATACGGTGCTTGCTGCTGCTCCAGCTATTCGCAGGCCAGTTACTCTGTTGCAGAGGGAAATTAAATTGTTCTTGACAAATCTGTGTCAGCAGTCACTTATCATCTTGTTATCTTCTGAGTACTTACAAGTAGCTTGTTTCATTATTTGTTCTATCAGTTTTCCAGGCGCGTGAGTTGAGTGACCAGTTTGTAATTCCCTGTCTTCTCTGTTTGCATATTTTTTAAGCTAGACCCCATGTTTTTTTTTTTCCTCTGCTCTTCCAAAGCCTCTCCCAACTGCCACGAGCTAATAACAGCCTTGCAGTTTCTACAACGCAGCCCTTCCCTGAGTTCCTGCAGGCAGGTTGTCACTCTGCACACTTTGGCTTGCTTGTCCCACACCTCGTGTCCCTGTGGAATGCTGACTTTTCTTTAGGGCTCACACCCTGTGCCAGCTCCTTTTCATTCCCTATGGGTGCAGGATGCCCGGTGGCTGTCGGTCCTGAATTTGAAGAGCAGTGACTCCCTGCTTGACAGAAATTTGTGCTGTGGCATCACGCACACGGGGATCCCTTTGTCATCTTGTATTTACCCTCTCTGAGTCATATCATATCATATAATATCATAGAATGGCCTGGGTTGCAAAGGAGCACAGTGCTCATCCAGTTCCAACCCCCTGCTGTGTGCAAGTCACCAACCAGCAGCCCAGGCTGCCCAGAGCCACATCCAGCCTGGCCTTGAATGCCTGCAGGGATGGGGCATCCACAGCCTCCTTGGGCAACCTGTGCCAGTCCATTCATTTATTCATTAGATCTGTTTGCTGATTTCTCAATTCTCGTTTTTTTCCCCCCAATTCCTTCAACAGGAATCATTAACCAATGGCAACAGGAATCCAAGGATAAAGTGATATCCCTATTGTTAACCCACCTGCCTTTACTGAAGCCCGGAAACATCGAAGCAAAAGTCGAATACATGAAACTCTTGCCTAAAATCCTGGCCCACTCGATCGAACACAACCAACACATCGAGGAGAGCAGGCAGCTGTTGTCCTACGCCTTGATCCACCCGGCCACCTCACTGGAGGACCGCAGCGCTCTGGCCATGTGGCTCAACCACCTGGAGGACCGCACGTCGGGGACCTTTGGCAGCCAGGGCAGGGGCCGTTCGGACTCTGTGGACTACGGGCAGACTCACTACTATCACCAAAGACAGAACTCCGATGATAAACTCAACGGATGGCAAAACTCTCGAGACTCGGGCATAAGCGTCAGCGCTTCCAGCTGGCAGGACAAAAACCTGGCCTGCGAGAACGGCCATCTGCCCCTCTACTCCTCCTCCTCCGTCCCCACCACCATCAACACCATCGGCACTAGCACAAGCACCAGTAAGTACCTGGGAGCTCTGAGGAGCTGGTCCCACCATCCCTCTTTGCCACGTTAAGCAGAGGGGAAAGTTTCATCCAGGCCACAGAAAACTCCCTGGTTTTGGTGTTTTTCCATTATCTGCTTGTGTTGTTTGTTTTTTTTTAATTTCCCACCTGTCTTTTTGGTGTTCTCCCTTTAATTCTGTGGGCTTTTAAAAAGGTTGCTGGAGAGGAAAGAAAAGCAGCCGGAAAGCTAGAAGAGCAAAATGGTGTGTTATGGAGGGCAGCCCCTTCTGTTTCATGCAGCTCCATCTAGGTTTGCAGCTCCAGAAGTTCCCAAAGCAGGCAGCTGATGCTTTGTTTCCAAAAGCAACCTGGGGACCTGGAATGAGATCAGGGCCCCAAAGAACAGGCATTGTGTTGAGAAGCAGGCCTGGGTTCTGGAATCTTTGAGAACATTCCCTTTAATCTGCAGCACAGAGAGGTGTGAAGCTGATGGTGACTGAGAGGTTTAGTTGCAAAGTTCTCTGTTTTCCAAGAGGTGGAGAGATGGGAAGCTCTTCCCTATTGAGGTCCTGATGAGTTTTGGTGGGGACGACGCAGAGCCCAGCCCAAGGCTTGAACACTGGGAAGGTGCCACAGTTGGGACTTTGTCACTGGTGGTGAATGGAGGTGTAGTGCAGCTCTGGCTTTCTTAGAGCAGCTTGGGAGAGGAGCAGAGCATGTTCTCAGTGAGCTCCTCTACTGTGTGGTTGTTGCATACTTATCCCTGATGACACATGGCTTCTGCTCAGAGACCTTCCTTGGCTTCTGTATCACTGGATCTTGCCTGACGGGCCATGGAAGCAAGCACATTCCCCTAATGCATGCTTTTTGTCCCCATTTTAACACAGTCTTCTCACCCTGCCCTTCCCCCTCTCTGTTCAACCCTTCTCCACCTGTTATTGGGATGATCTTGTCCAAAGCACTGACAGTTCCTTCCTGTTCCTGTCCCCTACCTGGGGCTGCTTCACATGGTTCCTTGTTCCCTGCTTCTATCTGTGCTATTGGAGCTGATTAATAGCAATAAATGCCCATTCCTCCCCAAAATTCGGTATGTATTGCTCCCTCTGTGGCCTTCCCCACCTGGCACCTTGCTAAGGGATGCAGAGAATGCTTGCAGTGAGGCACTGCTATCTCCATCAGCCTATGGAAAGCACCATGAAATCACTAGAAGGTGTAAAATGCTCTCTTAAGGCTGCTGCTGTTTTTTTTTTTCCACTCCTCTAATCAGTGCTCTATTAGGTTGTATTCTAAATGAACAGCAATAGGAGATGCAGTTCTGAATTCATGCAGCCCAGCCCCTGCCTCTCCAGCACCCATCTTTGTCACCCAGGGATTTAGCAGAAAGGGATTTAGCAGCATCTAGACACTGGCTGGTGTTCTCATCCCATCCCATCATGTAGCTCTCTGTAGAGCAGATCAGGGAGCAGCACGTGTGGCATTGGAACCAAGTCAGGCAGCTTTAGGAGGTGATACAAGGGTTGGCAGCAGCTCTGATGCTCTGGCTCCTGGTTCCCTGTGATTGCACAACATGGGGCTTCTTCATTGCCTTGCACGGGGCAGAGGAGAGCTGCGTCAGAGTGACTGAGCAGCACGGGAAAGGTTCAGTGAGTGAAAAGAGTCATTAATGCGTTTGCAACTGTGATATTAAACCTCCCGTTGTTTATTTTTCTTAATTTTTTGTCCCCCCTCTTGGCGTTTGCATGGCTGGAAGCTTTGCTTGCCAGGGAGGGGATTAGAATTGGTGGCTGCAGGAGGGATTTGGGTCCTTGCAGGGAGGTATGAGCTTGATCTGAGGATGATGCGGGTGAAATGACACCGACTTTGTCAGTGGCAAAGGAGACCTGAGGTGTTGGGGAGGTTTGGGATGTTTAGCCAAGAGGGGAAAGGCCTCATTGATCCAGATCAGGCTTGCAGGAAAAAAGCCTGTGACAAAAGAAGCTTTGGGTGCAGCAGGTTAATCATTGACAAGCTGGGTAAGAAGCGCTGGGTCTTAAAGGACACTTCTCAATAAGCTGCTCAACCTGATGTGAATTTGTTGTATTGCCATGGCCCTTTGCCACAGTGGTCCCAGCACAGCATCCCCTGCCTGGGCCAGGTCTCCCTTGTGTCCCATAGCACCGCTTCACATGGCACCATCACACCCATGTTGTTCTGCTGTGGGATTTAATCATAGAATTGTTTAGGTTGGAACAAGCCCAGCCCCAAGCCACCCCACCAACCATGTGCCTCAGTGCCACATCATTGGACTGCACAGCTCCTGCTGATTCATTTGGGTGGCAGTGAGCACAGACAGCCTGCTGGTGCAGCTGGAGGCCATGCTCTGTATGTTTGGTCCTGAGTTTCCTTAATGCAGTATTTACTTGGACGGAAGCACAGTGAATCCACAAATAGATGCTCAAAACCAAACACGGCCAGCCAGCCTTTGTCCCAGCCCCTCGAGTCGCTCACTACATCCATAAATCTCCTATTCCAAAGCAAAGCCCTCAAGCAGTCACTGTTTGTTTAGGTTTTATTGCTATTCTTGTTGGGTTCTCCTCTCCCCAGAGGTGTTGATGTGGGCAGGGCTCAGCCTATCAGTGTCTGCTTCCAGCACCAGCATGGGGCAGAGCCCTTCCTGGAGGTGTCTGGAGGCACTTGTGCCTGATGTTTTGGCACAATTAAACTCAGCCAAACCAGAGCAGTGCCCTGGGCTCTGTGCTCAGAGCTCAGTGACCAAGGGACACACAATACAAGCTGTAGAGGAGCATTTCTCCTGACCTCTTTCTCTGCCATATGTAATAGGTTCCATCTGAGCGTGATCTGGCTTCCAGCTGGGTTTCTTTTGTCAAGTGCAAGCCCAGCACAGCTTAACCCCATGTTTTCCCCTCCTCTACTCCCAGTACATCACCTGGGGATAGCTGTGTTACTTCTTTTGTTGATTTATGGTGAGATTTCGCTGTATTCCCATCCCTGGTGTAAAGCCGAGGCACACAAGGTCCCTGTGGAGGGCAAGTCCCCAGACAAGTCAGCCCTACAGAAAGGCTCATTCACAGAGAATTTCCCCCAGATACTTGAATTAAATCAGGTGAAATGTGTGCATCACAGATCAGTGATGTGTGCATCACAGATCAGAGACCTCATTATGGAATATCCCACAGGGCAGAGATCCTGGGTGCTGAGGATGTCACCAGGCAGAAGAGATGTCACAAACCCTGGTATTCCAGTGTCACTGCTCTGCCTGGAATCCCCTGCATGTAAGCAAAGCTTGGATCAGCACTGACAGTCACACTTCTGCTGCTGAACAAATGTGCATGGTGCAGTCTGCCATTCCCACAGAATTCCCTGCCAGAAAACCCATGTTTGTCTCCAGGAGGAGGAGGAGAGTGAGCAGGATGATAGATGCAGGAGAAATACACTGCTGTGTAACTTCTTCGTTCCACAAAAGAAAATTATCTTCTCTTGTCCTAAACCTGAAGAGAAGGAATAAATCAGCCTTTGATGCAGGTCAGCAGTGCTTGCTTTTGCCCACATTCCTTTCTCTCCACTTACATTGCCAACTCTTGCTGGATTTTCATGCATTTATAGAATCATTCAGGATGGAAAAGACCACTAAGATTCCCAAGTCCAACCCCACAGCACCCCACCATAAGTGATAATAAGCCCAGCCCCAAAGCACCCCCACCATGCCCACTAACCATGTCCCTCAGTGCCACATCTCCAGAGCTTTGGAACACCTCCAGGGATGGGGACTCTGCCACCTGCCAGTGCATCACTGCTCTTTTCAGAGAAAACATTTTTCCTGATATCCATCCTGAACCTGCCCTGGCACAACTTAAGGCCATCACATGTTGTCCTACCACTACTTGCCTCCGTTTACCGCAGTGCTGAGCTTCCTAGTGATGAGAAAACAAGGTGATGAGGTTCTCCCCAATCTCATCAGGAAACTAAGGTGGAAAAAACACCACCAAGAAAGCACTTGTCATGGACTGAGTATGAGTATCTTGTTTATCCTGCAGTGTTGTGCAGCAGGTCATTGCCACAGTAGAGGAACCCACCAATGGGCTCAGTATCCTGGTAGCAGACAGAAACTGCATGTTTTAACCTTGGTTTGGGTTGGGTTGATGGGCAGCTTGCAACTACAGCACTTGCAGGTGTAGGTTTGCTGTCATGTGTGGAGGGAGTTGTGTTTTGAGCCAGCGCCTTTTGGGCATTGCCATACTGGGATGGGATCCTTCAGCACACCTATCATCCTCATTGCTTAGGGATGGGAACATGTGGCGTTACAAAACCTTAGTTGGGCTCAAATGGTTTTTGCTTTTTTCTCTCTTTTAGTGATTGGTTCTGCAAAGTGTGTTGGCCTTTATCATGCTGAGCCTTTCAGCCATGGGAGAGCAGGGCAACTGTTGTCTTGCTCATGCCCTCTAGTGTTGCTTGTAACGATCGGAGAACATTTGTAGGAGTTGCTGTTTGCCAGTCACTTCACTACAGTATCTCACTCGTTCTGTAGCTTAAAAACAGAGGAGGAGGCGTACAGAGAGAAGGTGTGAGCAGAGTTGTATGGATAGAGTTATTTGTCCAAATCCAGGCAGAATACACACAGATGGGACTGAGAGGGGGAGGCAGCGTCTTCTACATCAGCAGTGAACATCAGGTACAGATTTCCTGGCCCTTCTCCTGAGAAATGTGGCCCATTAACCTGCAGAGCATCACTTAGCAAGGAGGCACTGGGGTGTGGTGGAAGACAAGAGATCCCACCATCTCAGGAGGTGGGGTTGAACCATCCTTGCTGTGTTGTTGTGTCTTCAGCTTTGGGGGCATGACCTATGCCTGTATCCTTCAGCTACCTGATGGAATGGCTTCTTGCCTTCCTAGCTCATGGGTTCCAAAGTTGCCATCAAATTTGGGAAGCCCTCTTAGAAACATAGAATCATGGAAACATTAAAAACATTAAGGTTGGAAAAGACCACTAAGATCATCTAGTCCAACTGTCAACCCCT